TCTCAACACACTAAAAGCCACACTCTTATTTTAGGAGATTATAAAAATTCTGTTGTCATTCCCTTCTTTCCATCAATTAGCTATAAAGTTGCACATATTTTGCAGAAATTTAACTTTCGGGTTGTTTATTCTCCCATCAATAAAATTCCAACTTCTATACTCAAGGACCCCATTCCGGATATGAATTCCTGGGGTATTTATAGGATTCCTTGCCAGTGTGGTTTAATTTACATTGGCCAAACTAAGAGAGCCTTAAAATTTCGCGTCAAAGAACATGAGGCATATGTTAGAAAAAAGGAAACACAGAAGTCTTCTGTTGCTCAACATTGTTGGTCCGAAAATCACACTTTCAATTTTTCTGCTGCCAAAATTATTCAAAAAACATCTTCCATTGGAGAACTGGATTTTCTAGAGGCATTTCACATTCATAAAAAATCTTTCTGTTCTAGTTAACGATCCTAATTCCAATCCAAATTTGCCTTCGGCTTTTAGAGAAATTATGTTTTAGTTCTGGTTTCGCCAACAGATGGCGCCACTTGCTTATTCTTGTCCAGGCTTTCTTATCTTATCTAATCATTATTTCGTATCTTGTTCATTTGCGGTTTTGCAGCTGAAGATGATGGTTCGGTAAAACCATCGAAACTAGTCCTGTGAAAATTTTGTAGGTATAACGCTGATTTTTGTTGTTTGACTTCTGAAGCATTCATAGTTTAGGTAAATGAATTTTATTCCTGCATGCTTGAATGCCAAATTATTTTAAGTATTTAGTAGATTATTATAATTTTAAACCACCGTCTTGTAATTTTCTTGATTGTTTAAAATACTTAATAGCTTAAATTTTAAATTTTAACTCGCTGTTTTGTTATTTTCGAAATTGTTTAAAATAATACTAATAGCGTCTGTAAAACCTACTTTCTTGCAATCATGCATAGGGAACAGTAAAGTTAACCACTTGTGCTGGTAAGAGGACTCTGTACTTGACAAACCGATCTAAGCGAGTTTCAGCATAATGGCACTTAAAATTATTTCCGTAAAGTTTTAGGCAATGTGTGCCTGTTTAGCAAAGGCTATTTTCATAGGAGCCGTGAGGTTTAATTTAATAATAAATATCCGAAAAGAAGAAAGAGAACTCGCAATTCTCAGAATTAAATGAAACTTCAGCCTAAATTTCTAAGTAACAAAAACTTACATCATATAACAGCCTTCTTCAGTAGCCAGTGCCGGTTAGTCACGCGTACAAAGCTATTAGCCAAAAATTTTATCTCTGAATTCAACTGCGCATTTTTTAGTCACTCTTTTTATTTTTTAAAAACACTTAATTCTGAAAGAGAGTTTTTTCAAGAAAATTAATTTTAGGGATTAAAATAATAAAATTAAGCATGAAAAATTTCCTGCAAAAAAGCAGATTTTTCTCTATTTTGTTCAAGGTTATGGTTATTTCTCATAAATTTGTTTATCATTAATAGTCTATTTTAATATAAAATTGTTCGAAACATGAAAGAGTGATATTGGGTAAATTGAAGGAATTTTCATTTGTCACAATTTAAATATATTTTGAAATAAAATTTCTGAAAATTTTCAAAAGCTTGCTTCGAATAACCTTCATGAATATTTCTTCGTCTACAGTGTTATATGAAGAAGAAATTTTTTCTTATATTTTACAAATGCATATGAATAAAACTCTGCCGCTTAATCGAGACCGTTATCTACGAAATATATTTTCCGCAGTGAAGGCAATGCCCGCTAAGGATCGACGGTTTAAATCCCTGAACACAAGTAATTCGACTCGGGTATAAGCTTAGCAAACAGACTGGTTGCGTGGATGTCTTCATGCATAATTTGTAACTTGGATATTAACTGGTTTCATTAGCAAGAATTTTCACGAAGCCATCCTCCATGAGGGATCTCTTAGAGATATAGTCCAAATATACTTTAACATAATCCAGATAAACCCATCTAGTCCACTGTTGGGAATGGAGAAAATGTGCCTCATGCAAACACATGTGTGAAGGGTTAAATTACGATAAACATAAATTATTGGACGCGTTCCAGAAGGGTGTGTTTTATATATTGCTTATTTGTATAATAAATGTCATCTGTCAGTTCTAAGCAAACGTGTCGAAACTTGCAAGAACTTAGAGCAAAAAATTTTAATTGGTATATCAGTAGATTATTTTTAAGCCATTTCTGTAAAACCCTGAAGGATAACTTTGATAACTGTCACTGCTTTTTAATATTCCATTTTAAAAATAAAGTTAAGTCCTTTTTAGTAAGCCCTCAGTTTCAGTAATATAGTTACGTATTATTTCGGATTGGGAAGCATATTACAACACTGTACTTAACGGAATTTTTGTCTTCCCTACTGCGTTCCTCCCTGGTATAACTGGTTGGAAAACCGGCTAGTAGTCGAAAGTTTCGAAGCCAAAGTATAGCTAGTTTTTCACGTCTACTATTCCAAATAATATAATACCACTATAGACTGATTTATGTTTAAAAACCAGAAGACCATACTTTTCGCTTAGGTTTCTGAATTATTTTTACCTACGGATTATACGTGTTTTCCGACTTAGCATACCGTAAAATAAAAATGCATTAAAATAAATAAAGTATAAAATAAAAAAGCGCAACAAATAAATAATGAGGCAATCTCAACTAATTTTTTTCTCAGGTTGCATTATTATCAAATCTCTCTACCAATAATTTTCTCGCGACAGAGATTGCATAGATTAATTTTTTTCTCTTCTTCTTAAAAGAGGTTGCCAACACGAAGCTCTAAACATCATGAAATTTAATGATGGGAAAATCCTCTTTTTTTACAACGATAATGCTTCATTTTTACCACACTCTAATTACGATGTTATGCGCTACTTAAATAGGCAACGGATGTTTATTTAATAACTCTTTCAGCTTCTCATTTTCTTTGCTTTTTTTTTTTTTTTTTTGCAAAGCACAAATATGTTATATTAAAAAAGAAATCTTATTTACTTTTGTTGAGCTCCTGTTACTTTATCTCTAATTGAATAATGCGAGTTCTTAAGACAATATTAATTAAGTAACGTTCTCATAATTTCTTAAAATGTTGTACGTAGTAGAACGCTGATTCTTTAAAAAAATAATTTTGCTTTGTATATCAGGAAAAGTGTGGATCATTTTAACGGCAAGCATATTTCTTAGATTAAAGACTGATACGTTAAAATGTATAACTCGTGTCTAAGTCTTCTAGAGAGCGGACTACTAGATAAAATATATACTTCATTAAGATTTAATATTTACGAAATTGTAAAAATTCACTGATTTTTCGGATAAGCATAATAATTATAAGATAATAGCATTATTTATATTTTATACAAATAAAAAATGAAGTCATGTATAGTTATGTTCTGACTTACTGAAACTCGCATTGGTTGAAAAGTGGAAAATATTAACTTTCAAATTAACCAAAGTCTAAAAATTCATTTTTTTAGAACTTAATGTGTATGAGACCCTTTAATTCAGTTTATTAAATAGTATGACCATAGCCGATTTGCAGCGAGTGATGTGTAAAAATTTAGCTGTCTTTAGGATCACTTCTGACTGACTTTCAAGGGTTGTACACAGGTCTAAGGACTGTCACTTTAATTAAAACCACTCTGTGTATTATTATTTATTATTTATTTAGAAGTCGTTACCGTTTTTTGTCAGATATATTGTTGTTTAATGGTTAATGTTCAAAATACCTTACAACGATAGATAACTCTTCGTAAGTTTAATAGTAGTTCATATTGTTTTCGGCTTAGATTTTAGATGATTGTATTATCTGGGGCTCCGAAATATTCATCATGAATATCAGCAAATCTCAGTCACTAGCAGTAGCTGAATGAAACTCATTCAATGCTAAGGTTTAAAAGATTATTGGAGTAACATTCTATTGTAGCATTTCGCCTCTTAATGAGACTTATCTGTCTCTATGCTCATTTGTTCCATATAGTACTGAAATGTTTTCTTGCTTGCTCTTTTAGAAATCTCTGGACAACGAATAAAGGTACCATGCCCACTCATATTCTATTCTGCACTCAGCTTTTCGAATTATTCACATGAAAAAAAAATTTGCATCAGAAAGCAAACGGTACAGCTGCCAACCACATGGAATATAAAAATAAATAAAAAAATTGGTAAAATTTAGAGTGATTTAATTCAAGTAATAAGAGTTTAAAAGTATGTTACAAAGATCGATTGCAATGTATGTGCTCGATTTCCAAAGACCATGTTTTCGGTAACAGTTTTACGTTATTAAACGCAAATAAGAATCTATGCTTGAATGTAGTCAAATTAAATTAATACTTATACAACTTATTATAATACTTTGTTATCTGCTGTTTATTACACTGTCAGGACTTGTGTTTCTCTTGATTTGCTTTGGAAACATGATGTGTCCTGAATAGGAACAGGGAGCTTACTCAAGCTATGTTCAACAATGTGTGGAGTAGACAACACAAGCAGGAAGGGTATACGAAACCCTTTATTTTCAATACTTTACAGGTACTCCCGAACTTCGGGATACAGAGACCAACCACTTGTGGTCTGAACGTAAGAATATAAACTACTAACTAAAAAGCTAACTTTGAATTAGTATCAAATGCCTAGCACTAAGACTGGCCTTTATTTAAAAGGTACGTATGTAGTACCCCGAGCTGGCTGAAAAATACAATATGTTTTCAAATATCAAGACGGCTAAACCTCTGGCCTTAAAGGCAACCAGCAACCGAATGAAAACTCGTAATACTGCAGTGGCAAGCGGCTTGCTTCCTAAATCTCCTTCTCTCTCTCTTAACTCTTGGCAAAAAGCCACAACTTAAATACTTGGGCGTTAGCAAGACAATTTGCATAAACAAATTAAAGCATTTAATTCTGGCCGGAAGTAGAAAATAAGAAGTGATAGTACAGTTTTAAAATAAAATAAACGTTAGTAAAACTTAGGATCCTTACAACAAAAACTATCATTAATAGATTAGAATACTTACCATGCTGAAATTCAGCTCCCGATATTCCATCAGTAACTATGAGCTCTCTGCTGCTTTTTGAATACACTAAAGATACAGACGCCGTGCACTGAATGCTAAGAGTTCCTTGCCTTAAATGACTGCGGTCTACGATGAAGACAAGACGAGATTCGTAGTTTCCAGGTTATTTTGTTAATTCTAAAATCTTGCGTCGACATAGGCTGATGGTGCCTGAGAAGTAGATATCAAATAATTTTATAAACTACAAACTCATTGATCATTACTACATATTGAATCCTCAAATAGGTTTTAAAATACTATAATTAATTGCGACAGTAAACAACACTTATTAAGACTCAGTTACATCAAACTAAGTTTAGTTAATTAACAAACTAAAAATTGTCTTTGGGTGTTCCTTATCTGTACCAAAACCTTCTCATTAGAAAGTAAGAAGTTATTAAACGTAAATTAAAAAAATCATTGCAAATTATTTTGGCGACATAACAAGTTAAGTTATTAAAAATCCTAATAAAATGTTATGAGGGTCACTCAGCAGCTGAAATTTTAGCACAAACTACAGCGAAGACTTTTACTTGAACTATTTCAAAAATAAAGTTAATAAAATTTTCAAAACTAAATAGCTTCAACGCCACAAACTGGATACCGTAGACCTGCACTGAATGCTAAGAGTTCCTTGCCTTAAATGACTGGGGTCTACGATGAAGACAAGACGAGATTCGCTAGTTTCCAGGTTATTTTGATTAATTTCTATAATCTTGTGTCGGACATAGGCTGCTGGTGCCTGAGAAGTAGATATCAAATAATTTTTATAAACTACAAACTCATTGATATTACTACATATGAATTCCTCAAATAGTTAAAATACTTATTAAATTAATTGCGACAGTAAACAAACTTATTAAGACTCAGTTACATAAAACTAAGTTTAATTAATCAAACTAAAATTTTCTTTGGGTGTTCCTTTTCTGTACCAACAACATTCTTCATTAGAAGGTAGAAAGTTATTAAAAACTGCTAAATTAAAAAAAATCATTTCAAATTATTGTTGGCGAAATAACAAGTTAAGTTAAAATCCTAATAAAATTTATTAGGTCACTCAGCAGCTGAAATTTTAGCACAAACTAAAGCGAAGACTTTTTACTTGAAACTATTTCAAAAATAAAGTTAATAAAATTTTCAAAACTAAATAGCTTCACGCCACAAACTGGATACCGTAGCACTGATTTGAGCAAATGTTGTGACACTGAGCCAAGAAATATAGAACAGGGTTTATCTAAACTATAAATAAAATTTACAAATATTTATGACAAAATTATCTGATGGAGAAATGGCATGTATTATAAATTCAGATATGCAAATCAATACAAACTGATGAATTAGTTACTTTATCTTAATAATAGTACTTAAAGTGCACTATTACTAAATTAATTGTAATTAATAACCAAGCAATAAAGAGTAAAATAATTTTAGTTATGAAATGGCATAAATTAATTTCAGAATTAAATATTATTTCCATTTACGAAAAAAAAGTATTTAAAAGTCATCTTTTTTTTTAATTAGTTTCTCACTACTGTAGTAAACCACAGTCTATGAAGCGTTCTAGCTTTATTCCATTTGTCCAAAAGCCTCAATTTACGTTTAGCGAGCAATTTTACCTTTCAAAAGCAATAAGCGTTCCTCTTGAAATAGAAACTAATCTCATTATGCTTCAGTATAACTTACAGTTAAGAAACTGCAATATTTAAACTTATTCTCGCGTAGCTAATGTTTTCATAAACTATCTGAAGTGGACAAACTGTCGTGACGGAAGTTAAGAAGACTGAGAAAAATGTAAAAACTAATTTAATTGTTAAGAAATTAACGTAATTATCACAGCAGAAAATGCCTTGTATTCACTCCAGATGCGAAGAAGGTTACATAAGAATCCATGCAGCTAACTCTTCATTTGACGCAACTAGAATAACAAGGCATCAGGTCACAAACTCTAGTGCGCTACAAATTTAGGGATTAGCGCCCTATGGCTGTTCAGATAATGGTGGAAATATTCTTGCAGAAAATATAATACTCTTGCTATTAGAAACAGTTTTCGACAAATAAGCCATGTTTTAAATAGAAACAAACTTACAGACTATAATTACTAATTCAGAAGTCAAACAACAAAAATCAGCGTTATATTTTCAAAATTTTCACAGGGCTAGTTTCGATGGTTTTACCGAACCACCATCCTCAGCTGCAAAACCGCAACAAATATATATATATATATATATATATATATAATGGGCGCTAATATAATGGGGCTAAAAATATAATTATAAAAACATAATTTAGGGCGCTAATCCCTAAATTTTGAAAATATAACGCTGATTTTTGCTGTTTGACTTCTGAATTAGTATTTGTTCGGCGTTTTATTGTGTCTTAGATTATAACTTTAATAGTTTTAATAAAAAATAAAAAATAGAGCTAAAGGCATGAAGTTGCAAAAACATATTCTAAATTATGCATGTTAGGAAAATATAATAATTAATCTATGATACTAGACTAAAAACAATTGCAAATGTCTTTCTTTTTTTAAAGAATGGTAAATAATTAAAACAATTGTTCTTCATGCATTAAAAAATGAGAAGTACAGATATGAACTGTAGGTTTGAACGCAACATTATCTTTTATAATTTCTGTGGAAAAATTAGGTGGAATGTATGTTCAGCATAGTTTTGATCTGATATTTGAGATATAGATACATCTGATAATTTCAGTTAGCAGTTATATTTTTGAAATGTAATGCTTTCGTATTTTATTAATACAAGTTTAGAAGTTTGCGTGAAACACTTGGTGTGTAACATGTGGTTTCTTATCAAATAACAGTCCCTTCTAGTGGGACAAAAGGCAAAACATAAATACTAGCGAAAGAAATAGATTATTTTAAATCAAAGAATATGGCCTATATGTTTTCGAAGAGTTATATATTAAATGAACCCTTCCACAGAACTAGGCATCTGTTTAAAATTTTATGATTCACACATTTATAGTTACTTTCAACAGCACTACTACTGAATACGTCGACTTCATTTCTTAGTATAATAAATAAATACAAAATCTTAGCATTAACATTTTTTTCTGAAAAATGATGTTGCTAAAAGAAATCCCATTCTCTTCGTAAAAGACTATTTAACGTCTCTTTTGAAATATTACGTAATTATTTAAAAGATTATATGAATATCACTCTCAATTAAATGCTCAAAACAAAAGCATTTGCAAGTGAAGAAAAACCTCAAAAGGAACCATACATTATAATTTAATTAATAACAAGTTCTGAGGGGGGGAAATATGAACTAAGCAATTGGGTATCACGAAATAAGTATAATATTAATTTTTTTTCCATTAAATAAGTTTAATGGAAACATCGCTAATAATAACTATAAGAATAAATTTAAACGCTAATGTGTAAAATTTTATGATTTACACATTTATAGTTACTTCCAACAGCACTACTACTGAATACGTCGACTTCCTTCCTTAGTACAATAAATAAATACAAAATCTTAGCATTAACATTTTCTTCTGAAAAGCAATGTTGCTAAAAGAAATCCCATTCTCAACAATAAAAGACAAAAGAATTATAAAATCCTATATGAAAATAAAATTAAATTCAATATATATTGGTGAACTTTAATACATATCTAGTATTTTCGTTAACATTTTAAAATACATTACATATCCTTCAATTCTTTAAATTATATGATTCGAATTTTATTTCTCATGCTAATACAAAGTGAATTAATATGGTCTGTCAACAATAAAATGAAATATTGTTTTCAACTAATATATATCTTCCAAATATCTAATTAATTATATTTATGCACAAATAAATTAAGTTATAATTATAATCCAGCTGCCTTATGTATTTCAATAAACTGTTTATTGGTTTTTCAGATTCCAAATATTTGCGGAATAAAATGCTTTAATCCCATCTAAAATGTAAATATTAACTCTAATAAACGGTACACATATCTCATCTGAGCTGCTTCACGCTCAGCATACTGCGGAAGACAGCATTCAGTACAAACAGGTAATATGAATGAGGCGAAATACTGCATTGCGCCTCTTGCATCCAAATTGTGCAATGCAAATAAATAGCTTTATGCACACACGTCCACAATAGAGTTTGCACAATAGGATTTCGCTCAATACGGCCTCTTCATTATGTCTAGTGTCGGAAGCGACCATTCAGTTAGTGCAAAATGGGATGATTCAGGTCTACTATTAGGGAATGAATTCAAGAGAGGAACAGAGGCTCACCTTGTCCCCGTTGATGTACCACGCCAATTCTGCCACTGGTTTGGATGGCCCGAAAATACACGTCACATTCACTTCCGATCCAATAGGGTATCTGTTCAGCACACCAAATAGCGTAGGGTCACCTTCAGGTATCACTGAGGCACAATTTTAAAACACTCATCTAGGTTATATGCAGACTGTACATGAAAATAATGAACTTAAGTGGAGTTAATAAAATACATTTTAAGTGCAATTCAGTTTTGATCTATCATTTCTCTCAAGACTTCGAAGTTAGATTAAACTCTGCACTCCGCACGATAATAAAAGTTTCTGATATATTTTCACGGTATTTTGAATTAGATATAGTTCATAATTCAGTTGTTATTTAATAAGAAACTAAATGAAAATGGAAGGTAATGGAATTAATGGGTTCCTCACGTATTTATCAGTTTCTCATAATTCTAAAATTTCCATTTGCAGCTTTCGTAATTTCCTTTCTTTCTATTATTTCGTATTAACTTCGTTTAATCTCTTTCAAATATATCTTTTATTTACGTAGTTAGAGCTCATTAACAACGGTGAATAATTCGAAGTTTTTCGGTAAACGTATACTATAAATAAAAGTTTTAGCTATTCTCTGTCGAACTGTATAGAAAAACCATCATCAAATACAAGTCGAGTTGTCAAATAAGGGGAAAGTTAAATTAAGAGATTATTGCATGATTTTTATTGATGTTATTTTAGCGCGAAAATAAAACGAACGTACATCTGCATATTCTGCCTACTATGATCAATAGTATTTTTTTAATTAAAGAAGGCATAGTTCTACAAGTTAAACATTATTACAATCCTGCAAATGTTAATTCGTTCAAAATTGAACCAAATATTTTATAACATATTTTGCATTCTTACATTACCTTCTCTTAATTGTTCTATTTGGAAATATTAAGAACTGCACAGAAATTCCAAGCAAGCATCTGTGCTGACGGATCTCTCTACAACTCATTCGGATTGATTTGAATCGGAAAACTATTATTCTCCAAATCTCCTCTTCAGCAACAGGATTTCCTAAGTTAGATATAGGAGCCCACTCTCCAAATTACTCGTATCCAGGTGAGCGTCCATCAAGTTCTCATATTCGAGTTCACGTTTTATCTAATATACATTTCTGATAATCCAGAACTTTTGTGACAACAGTAATTGCCTGATTTCCTATTATGCGGAAGACACAGCGATCCTCGTGAAATCTTTATATCTGAATTATTCTATCCAAAGACTCCAATATAAAATCAATGAAATTTTGTGCAGTAAATCGCGCGTCAATATCAAGGCGAGAAAACTGAAATCCTTCTCATCTAAAACAACATAAAGAAACATGCCTACGGGACATTCATGTTTTTGAACAAAATGTTCCCAGATTTCTCTCTGTCGAGTAATTAGGTGTAAAATTTAAGTACCGCCTCACTTGGATTCGGCACATTAAAAACTGTGTCGACAAAACTCTGGGCATTTTATGAGGCTCAATATCCTCCTAAAAACAATTTTCCATTGAACCTAAGACGGAAAAGGGAGGAAATTCTGTTTCTTAGTATTTCAGCCAATTTTTTATAAACGTTCCTAGCTTGGTGAACTGTTTCACCTAAAGACATTTAAAATTACGAAGCTCGGGAAACAAGATACTTCACTTCCTCATAGGTACTCCTTGTTTGTTAGAAACGTTAGACTGGGGCATCGAGCGTGTGCAAAAATTTCAAACAGAATGAAATCAAAGTTCTTCTATAACTCTGGGAACTTTCACAAGCCATACTATCCCAAGAAATTCAGTTGCATAGTTCTTGTCAAAAAGTACATACTTTGGACAATTGCAACTCAGCTTCTTAGAAATCAACTTCTCAGCTTTAAATTTCTCGTTATCACTGCCATCTCACGGATTTATGGTATTATTTTTCTTTACTGTAGAATCAACCGCACTGGACAGAGACCTGGCCACTTTCTTTCCTTTAGAACCCAACTGGCTCGTCTTTGGATTACTCTGCTGCATTCTTCGTATAATTTCCAGCCTTCGATTTGCTGCGGGTGCAAGAAAAGGCGCGCAGAGTGGTGTCAACTCTTGTTTATCACGAAACATCCCTTCACGAGTTTAACGACAGGAATACACGAGGAGTGGTATTGAGGATAGAAAGAGACGGGAATTTGCGTTAAAAAATTAAGAAACAAAATGTTAGTTTTATTTTAGGTAAACGCTCTTTGAGGACATTATGTTGAGAAATGATAGATCTAAGTTTCACTGAGTTGAAAAACAATCTCTATAAATTACATAACATGTCATCACTCATTTTTAAATCTGTCGTAATCAGTTGCTGTTAAATGCATATTCAAAACAATTTCTTTTGTCTCAGTTTATTGGTAGTATTTGTTCTAATTATGGATTTTTAACATTAATGAAGGAAATATTGACTATAAGGTAGAACGAAATACCTTTTAATAGGACAGGATTTTTTCAAAATACATCACTTTCATTCAAAATAAAATCCTTACAGAGGAGGAAAATAAATTAATTTTGTATACAGTTAGATAATTTCGCCACAATGAATAAAAAAATTTCTCTGAGCATGAAAAATACTTTAGGATATAATAATTTACTTATCATTATTTCTCTTCCTCAGATTATATTATGGTACAAAATTCTTTATATATATATAAAGAACTAGCTATGCTAATAATAAACTAAGTACTTATCACTGTTTGAGTAAAACAGTAATCAATATAAAACATCAGTTTTAGAAAACGATATCTTAGAAGAATTGCTTTTAGATTTCATTTGCACAAGAAATCATCCCATTTTTTGTCTTCTCCTAAAATTTATTTATAAAGTTGGTGTTATTCATGCTAGCTATCAAAGATCCCTGTACTTTATTCGAGATCACTGAAGATACGAATTCTAGATAAAGGTATGATACATAAATGCTTCCAATGATTTTAGTGTATTGCTATTTACACTTAAAATTAAGTGGTAATGTTATTTGAATAACTTTTCTGAAAATCACTCTGGTGATTTTAGTCCATGACTTATAGATGCATTCACTCTATTATATTTCTAATGTGACATGAATGAGTAAAACTCTCGTAGGAAATGCAAATATAGTTGTAAGAATACCACTCATAACTTAATGGGTTTAAATTCCACAGCAAACTCTCTCCAAAATAATGTATAATTGACTACAAATGCAATTTTTGTTTCTTTTCAAAGAGCATATGATGTTTAAAAATTACATATTCATTTGAAATTTTGTAAGACTATTGCAATTAGTTATACATAAAATCGTATTTTGTAATCGAAGGCACTACCTGAAATTTTTATCTCTGCAGTGTATATTTTAATGATTGCTTCAAAAATTATTGCACTTTATTATGCACATTTTAGACATGCAATTGTTAAAAAACCCATCTAGAAACCCGTATTTCCGAAATTTGAATCCAGGTAACAACACAACTTCCATATTTCCAAATTTGGAAAAACTGACGCTCTCAACAGTGGCGCCCGAGTAAGGTAAAATGTAAAGAATCATTGCATTATTCCGCGAGCGTCCTCGTATTGGAATTGGTTTACAAATTCACCTAGTGACTGGGAGATCTATGGTTCTAATACAGGCGAAAGCACTTAGATTCTTCAGATATTCTGTTTTTAAATAACCTGATGTACCTTCATTCTGATCTCGACAATATTTCGGAACTTTTCTAAAAAGGAATCTAAACGAATTTGTCCGTTATTTCGAAATCTACTCCAGCTTACTAAATCCTGGTCACTAGCTACGATATCACTTTAGGACATAACTGTCTGCTGAGAGATACTTTTATCTAACTGAGTTACAGCTTGCTTCATACAGTTTGTATTTAAAATAAAACCTGAGTTTTTTGTCTCTAACTGAGTAATCTGATAGCTTCATTTATGTCCAAAATTAAAATTACAAAGATATGTCTTGCAGTAATTCAAAATAGCTCCCACTACTATTTTTAAACTCGATATCATACAACTTAAGGAAGGGCATAACTAATATAAGCATAGAAAGTTTAAGTAAACCTTTTTCATTACAGCTTCAACTGAGCAGATTTACACAGCTCGTTTAATAATAGAAGACTCCGCTGCTTGCCAATTTAAACAGAAGAAAAACGTTAAATTAAAACTTATGTAATTTAAAATATGGAAATTCACAATGCAATGTTCGCTTGTAAGTTTTGTGTCACACGATTAGCAAAGGCTAAAAACAGTTTAAGTAAATCTAGAAACTGTGTAAAAATAGTAATTAAGACCGTCAGCAGTCACTGAAGCATGTTTTTCATCTTAAGACCTCAGTTTCTATATATACAAGGCAGCGCAAGAAAAAGTGAGTCTAAAGCAAGTGAAGAACCCATGCACTGAAAGGCAGTATTTTATCGAGTGACTCAAGATAAAGCAAGCCGGACATAACAAACTTCACTTGCTTTGGATTTGATTTATCATAAGACACCCTATATTATTTAATTTCCATTCTTCTGGCAGCGCAAAATTTGGATAGACATCATATGTCATATGTATAAGCATGCCTATCAAATTTCGTTTATCTTGCTTAAGGGGACTCATACACCTTAAAACCCATAAGATGTTCGAATAGGTGACTGTCGCAAGAATTGGGATAACTTATTTATTTTAAAAAGCAATTACTACCAACTTTTTACAGCTGACTACATAATATAGCTGCTTTCTGAAATAGTAATCAGAAAGTTTGTGTTGCCACAGTTATTTTTATAATTTAATCCACTTTGTGACAACATTTTTCGTCTTGTTTCCAACTTGCGCGCACAGTTTAAAACATTCTGTTTCATAATTTAATTCCATATTTAACATATAGCTTTTATACCATTTGAAAACTACTGTGGACCTAAAATTCTAGAAAATTTCATGTTAAATTTTTATTTTATTTGGAGTTGAGTTTATAAAATGTATTTTATTAAAAAAATTTGTAATGTTTCCATCCATAAAATTTTTCAATACTAAAATATTCATTAGATTGTTGGTTCAGTTAGAAAATAGTGCCCATATAAAGAATTCCATCCAATTCCAAGTATGTACCATTAGCCATTTTTAAAATGTCATGCGCGCAAGATGGAAACATGGCGAAATATTTTGTCACAAAGAGGATTAAATTACAAAATATTTGTGGCAACACAAACTTTCTGGTTACTAGTTTCCAAAGCAGCTGTATTATGTAGTCAGCTGTAAAACGTTGGAAGTAATTGCTTTTAAAATAAATAAAATATCTCAATTCCTGCAACAGTCACATATTCGAAGATCATGAGGGGGTTTAAGGTGTATGAGTCCCCTTAAATACTTCATGATGTTGGGATTTTTTCTTTTTTCGTAAATGTACAAGGGTAGGTGACACCCAGAGCACACGCTAATGCTGCTAATGAGTAAATGACATTAATTTATTATTAAATATTTTGACAGTAATTTTCTTTAATTGCCTTTACATAAAGCATCTATAACGTATTCATCTACTTTAAGATATATTTTCCTAAGGGTGAGAGGAGCTCCCCGAAATAACCTTGGAGTTCTAAGGTTTCCATGAGCCGACAAAGGAGGCCACTGGCTTAAACGATGGATTAAGACGGAGAATCGTCAGTAGTAGGTCTGAAATTGTCCATTCTTGAATTCAGTAATTTAGGAATAAGCAGGTATTCCGCTGTGAGCTATCATCTTGATTACCTATTCCATAGAACTTGTTAAAATCAACTCTTCAGGTGTTCAAAAACTCATCAGATGATAAGCAGGGAGAAGAAGCTGATGCGATATATTAGCAGTCAGTGTTACTAAAACTGCGGTATAATATCTGAAAGGACCATCAAGAACTACTGTTTTCTTCTTGTCACCTTCATTAGTAACAGGTACGGACTTATAAGACAACGGTCTATCACAATATTTAGTAAAAATTTAACTAACTATAGTTTTCTTCCACTACACAATTCAAGTGAAGCTCCATGAAAAATTTGCAGGTTCCGACACTGAAATGAAGCCTACGAGAAATATGCTTCTCTGATTGTTCAGCTCTTATCAATCATGCGGAGGAGGTGTCGAAAGACGTTAGGAAAATAATCTGAAGCGCGTGTTTGATACTAGGAAGAAATGTTTACAGATAGCTAATAGAAACCATTCCTGAAAACATCAGTAAATTTTTCTCTACTGAAGAATTTATGAAACAGCAATAAAATCAGCAACTTAGGTTTAAAGCTTGAAGAGATTTATTTCATGAATATGAAATTAATTATAAAGAGGAGTTAGGAAATTTCTCAGTGAACTTATAATTCATTAGGGAAATAAGTTAATAATTCGAATTATGAAATACATACAAACTTGAGTTCTTATTTACTTTATTAATGACTCTTTTATACACTACACATATCATCACTTGATTCATGATGAGCTGAGAAATGTTTGTGTATAATGACATTTATTGAATATGAAAAACAGAGCACTCTCAGAACATGAAATAATGAAATATAGACATAATATGCAAATAATCAACAGATATGTAATATAAAATGCCTAATAAACGGTTTATCTAATATTAAGATTTTGGCATTCATTAATTTTAAAAACGTAACGGCAAATCAGTGCTATGTTCTGGTATCTTGAAAATGATATTAGTTTGGTATTTTGGAAATGTTATTATTTTGATATCTTAAAAATGATCTTATTTTGGTATCTTGAAGATGATATGATTTTGGTATCTTAAAAACGATACGAGGTATAATTCACGAAAAAAGAAATAAAGTACCTCCAATAAGTATTCTTCAATAGATTATGCAGGATAATTTGGTATAACTTGAATATTTGGTCATTAAGAGTTATTTTGTATTTATACGAACAATCCAAACAACTCAGGTAACTTAATGATGTGGATCTTAGAAGCATAAACTCTTTAGAAATAATTTTTAACTCAATACGCACGAAAAGGTTCATTGGAGTTTCAGGAAACATCTATATACACATATACAAACATTAGAAATCAAATCAAGATACAGAAGAACATTGTCTGATTTTGAAAAAAAAATTAAGTCTTCCAGTACCAAATTTCGCTCCGATATTAGAAGGGAAATGAAATTATCGAAAGCCCAATATTGGAGCTTGATTATACCGTATATTAGAATGGGTTTTATACTAATTGCTTTTACATTCTACAGCATAAACCTGAATTACAAAACCTTTCACTATTAGCATTTGATAACAATGCGAATTATATTTTCTAGGAATTTTAAAGAACTTTTTAGAGAAGTTCTTAGAATAGTATCTTTAATTTTTTTTAAATATATTTTGTGTGCAGAATTTAAATTTATTATTTTTCATTAAACTACAAGGCGCTGTCTCTAATTAGAAATAAAGCTTTTGAATAGATATCATATGTCTTATAACATAAATAAAATAGTACCATGCGTCTCATTACATTTTCATATACCATGATATGAGAAACGTTTATAATCATAAGATATGGAAAGAGGAAACGACTTTTCATAGCGAATAGGACGGACGAAAGAGAAACTATTATATATATTTATAGTACGTAAAATGTAAAATACTGCTCACCGTATACATAAAGCTCCTTCTCTGCTTTGATTGTTCGGAAGGAAGGTACTTCTGTGGAAACTTCACATCCATACATACCTTCTGTTTCCATTACACTTTTATATAGATAAGCGTGTGTTGCATTGGAATTGTGTGACTAGAAAGAAAATAAGATATCATTTTATTACGATATATATTAGCTCCTATATAAACATGAAATAAAAGAAAAAAGGAAAAATCAGTTTCAGATCCTGTGTGTCGATAAAAATTATCTAAAAGTTATTAAAGAAATCTTTATGAAAAATTATTGGACAGAATTAAAGGGTAACTTTTTAAATTTAGAGATAACATAGACGTTTATAAGGTATTTTCTCCCTCTTTTCCCCATGACTTTGTGCGCGTTCAACTTATATTCCTGGCGGTCCGGAGCTCGAATCCCAGCAAAGTTAATATGGATTACTTCAGTTTTATGATATCGATATACCCAAATGACTCTACAAGTCGTGACTGAATTAAAAAGTGTGGCCGATGATTTGTCACCATCAGGATTTTGCGATTTGGTCCCTTAATCTCCAGTTTCCTTTTAAAAGGGGGAGTATGTAAGGTATTTTCTCCTTCCTTATCGCATGCCTCCATGGTGTAATTGAAAACAAGCTCGACACGTATTTCGGGGAAGGCCGTATTTCTAATCCCTGCTATGTCATTTCGGATTTCTTCAGCTTCTTGACGTACATATAAACTAAGCCACTGTAGTAGTCAATCACACTCCTGCCGCAAGGCAGTTGTAAACTTCTAGATGGCTCTCACAGAGGAAACAGCGAGATGAAATTGTCCTCTCTAGACCATTCTAGACATGCTGTAGAGGGTTAAAGTCAGGAGAACTAGCTGTCCAATCCACGCAGCGGATATCTTTAATTCCAAGTAATCATCGGCCAGCTGAGCTCTATGTCGACGAGCGTTGTCGTCTATTAACAGGAACCCACGACCAATTGCGACCTTGAAAATTTGAACATGGGGCTCTAAAATCTCCTCTCTGTACCTTTTATCATACCTCATAGCAGTCAAGGAGCTATTGCCAAACACAAGCAAAGGTCTGCGACCCTCCAACATAATACCTTTCCAAACCATTATACCTCCATCACCGTAAAGATCCTTTTCCCTGATGAGAAAGGAATGGTATTGTGTTCCCAACTTTCCCCAAATACAGGTACGCCAAGTATCAGTGCCTAAGCCGAATCTTGATTCATCTGTAAAATGCACGCGCAGCTCCAACGGACTTTGGTTCAAGGCGCCTGTTGTTTGCAGCATGCTAAACGTGCTTTTCTGTGTACTGCAATGAGAGGAACGCAGACATCAGGTCTTCTGGCATACAGCCCTATCTCGTGCAGCTTTCAGATAAATGCAGGCAGCGATGCATATTCCGGGGTTCCAGTAGCTGCACAAAATTCACGGGAGAGCTATGGATTTGTAGCAGACTGTGTCGCAAAACGGCAAATGATTGTGACGTAAAGTCAAATAACAGTCCTCATTCATCCTTTTAAATCTCGATCGACCTTCTCCAGGTTCTCTAGATAATCTGTTTAAACAGATTTCAAGTGACAATGGGCGTTACATTGTGCTCTGTAGCCACCTGCGCGTATGACTGGTCTGCCCCCCATCTCCCCACAATTCTCCATCTCATCCAGTCATCCGTATGTTCGTGGCTACTCGTTTTACCTGATATCTTCTAAAATTTACCAACGTTTGCCAGAAAGACTGCGAATGTTGTGAAGCTGTAAGAGCATACAAATCGCCGAAAACGCTTCGTGCGCTTATATCCCTCAATCTCGAATATGCGCCCACATCTCGAATATGCGCCAAGAGTGCTAACGTTGTATCACAAAGGCATGCTGGAAGGAGGGAGAAAATGCTTTGTAAGGATACCATCTAAGGCCTATCAACAGCATAAATATTGTGACTCAAAATATATATTAATTTAATTCATTCATAAGTGCATTCTATTCTTCATAAATGTCTGTGTAGAACTTAATGTAAAACAGAATGCATCTAAAACAGTAATTTGAAGTTGTAAGGAAACCGGTGCAACGGCATATACCAAAGAGGAGAAGTAGTGTACAGAAACACAATTAGACAAAACATGATTTTTAGCTAAAATTCAGCAATTTAGATAAAGCATGATCGAGTGAGAGATAGGTTTGATTGCCAAGTACGCGAATGCAAACTTTTCATTTTTGAGTAGGGTGAAAGAAGTATATATACAGGGTAGTCGTAAAAATCTTCCCTGATGTACAAACCTCTAGCAGCCTATCCGCTCAATCAAAAGAAATGAAATTTCAGATATTGTTATTTGAAAGTAAGTTCAAACGTGCTAACAAGTTGACACTTGCACGGAAACAACGAGGTGATTTGATTTAGCTGCTTTATCTGAAAAGGGAAAATGCTGCCGAAACAATACGAGTTTATCAGCGAAATCATAAGCTAAGACGAGAAACAGTTCCCTAAAAACTGTATTTAATTTGGTAACAAATTTTGAAGACATTAGATGCACACATGATAGAATGCCATCCTGATGAACGTGGGTTCCTCTTGAAGTTGTTGCGGAAGTGCATAATACGATTACTGCGTATAGCGAGAAGTGTCCCTCGAGATGTGCTGTTGTTGTACCGAAACCCACAGTCCTCAAGCTTCTGCGTTCTTTTCTGCGGGTGTTTCCTTATCGATTCCAGAGTGTTCAGCACGTAAAGATGTTGCCTGGAAACGGGCAAGAGGTTTTTCGTCATCAGATAACATGAAGACAACAGGTCGCCGCTGCAGATATTATGGACGAATGAGACGCATTTCTCCTTAACTGGGATGTCAAAATCCAAAAACTGGGTTCTCTGAGCTTATGAAAACACTCACGATGTGACAGAAGCGCCTTTATACGAAGCTAAGCCACAGTCCGGTGCGGAATGGCAAGCACATCCGTTCTCTGTCCCTACATCTTCAGAATGTCCCTTCCAGAGGTATGAAAACGTACTCCATAAAAAGTGATCGATATACAACAATGATGCAGAATTACGTAATTCCAGAATTGGAACACTTAAATGTTCTTAATGACACTGTATGGATGCAAGATGGTTCTGCTCCACTCGTCGTCCCATGTCTTCGGTAAGTGCTGGAGCAGCACTTTGGATACAGAATCGTCTTCCTTAATTTTGCAATTTCATAACCACAGCGATCTCCCGACCTCACTCCGATGGATTTCCTGTTCTGAGGTTATCTTAAAAGTAAACTCTACACATAAAATAAAGAGTTTTGTCAGAATAAAATATGCCATTAAACGTGAGATTATACAAATTTCTCCTGAAATTTTACATTCGTCAGTGTTATCAACAATCCCTGCTCTAACATCTGCGAAGATGGGTATATTAGGATATTGTAATTACAATGAAAGATTTTCTTCCTCTCCTCTCTTGTGTTGTTCTTAACAATACTCCTCTTTGCAAATATTTTACTCCTGCAATATTTGCCAGAGATATATCGTTACAACGTCATTTATGATTCTTTATTGCGCTGATCAAAATGCTCGGGAAAAAAGTGGGTTTTGAAAATTTCGACTTATTTTGACTGTTATTGTAAACATGAGAGCACTATTGCTACAAATCATCACAATTTGGAGCGCATAACTTCAAATAAAGCATTTGAAATTTCAATTTGATTGATCGAACGGATATGTAGCTACGGGTTATCGGGAAACTATTTATGCCTACCCTGTACTTATGTGAGTAATAATGATAATACAAAATCTGTTCTCATTTATTGTAATCAACAAATAACATGAGTAAAGAACAATAAACTAAATGGGCAATTTTAAAATAGATTAAGCAGCACAGATAATTAACTACGTACGATCATATAAATTTACATGTATGTCAAAATTGCACTACATATTGCTTTAAAAACTTAAATTTTAAGCTGGTTATGTTTGCTTAGACAATTCACATTTTGATCAAAAATAACGGTTTTTAACCCGCGAAGACGCGCGCTACTTTTAACTACGCGAGGACGCGCGTCGGGCTCCATAGGCCCGAAGCGTTTTTCTTAACAAAGCAAAAATATAATTGCTTGTGTAATTGAAAAACATTTAAATAATAAAAACAGAGTGTATAAAATATAAATATATACTTTTAATTTAATAAGTCTAATAGAATTGTATTTTAAAACAATTTTAAGACTCAAATTATTTAGCATTAACAATAAAAATTAAACTGATTTCTTTCTGAGCGCAAATGAAATTTAGTAATTTCATAAAATTAGTAATTTATGCAATATTAAATTTTTATAGGAATAATTTCAAAATAAAACTTAAATTTCACATTTTTTTTTTTTTTTTTTTTTTTTTTTTTTTTGCAAATAATGGTGCTGTGTTTACCATAAACATTTTTCTCGCACATAGCGCAGCAAATTTGTGATTTTCGGTCCGTTACGCGAAGACTGTAAACGTTTTTGCAATTTTCAGCGAACTTTTCAAAGGCATATCTTATAGGAACCAGTTTATTTATTTCCCTTCTAGAAAAGCGATCTCTTATGTCATCAAATCTCAAACATCTCATTAGAAATAAAAAAAAAAAAACGTTTGTTAGACATTGTTCGATGAAAATGTCAAGCACTGTTCCGTCAGCCACCCAAAGGTCGAGAACATTTAGGTGAAAAATCTTGTGGAGTCCTCCAAAATAATGAAGACCGATAAATGCTCCGATTTCTGTAATATTTGTGGATCTAGCATCTCTCTATCTTTCACATTTGATGGCAATGGATTCGATATAAATGTTTACACAATCTACTAGAATTTTTACTATTTTTTTATCCATAAGCAGTTGCCAAGAATTCATAGGAGAGGACACAAAAGGGAGAAATTTTTGTATTACGTTTTTGTAACGACCGGGCCTCGCAGGCCCGACGCGCGTTCTCGCGGGTTAATAAAACCTGCATCTTAAGGTCCGAAACACTGTTTTCACGTTGTCATAATTTTTAACACCTGTTGGTTTAAAGGTGTTTCGCTTTATGCCACACTGCTGTCTTCTGCGCTATCATTCTCGATTTCGATAGAATGTAAAATTCTTTTGGAAACAATTTCATTAGTTCCTTTTTCTTCCCACCTATAGGCGTTATTTTGAAATTTCGTTATGTGCATCATATTTTTACACCCGTGTAATACTGAAAGTATCGATATAGTGAGCGATATAATAACCTAGGACTATCATGTCATTCTAGTCTTCCAATGGCTTACACTGTTCCTTCAATATAGCTAACCATTCCCTTTATGCTAACAGTAAGTGACGCAAACGTTTAAGTTCATCTAATAATCGAACCTTTTAGATGAAAACGTTTCTTAATGATTGGCTATAATCATTACATTTCAAAATAAAGGTCTCATCTAAAATACAAACAAAGCCTCACGTCTCCAAGCATTACATTTCACCAAATGAGGCCTCAACACCGCTCAAAGTTTTAATGACTTGATATGCTCGCGCTATTCTGAAAGAAAAAACACGTCACTGGTATTGCGGCACTTGCTTCATCAAAGAACCAGGTTAAAAGTGTCTTTGTGGTAGAAAAAAGTGATTTGCTGCATAAAACGTTCTAATATATCTGGCCCGGCTGAAACCCTTGTCATCGTAAGCATAAATTGCAGCTAAGCGAAGATGCAAAAAATTTCCCAACGAAAGATTTAGTTTTTTCAGATATCAGATTTCCTATTTGGGATCTTCCATCTTTATAACCAAGACATTTCAACAAAGGAAACACCACCAAGAAGCAGGTTATACGTTTGTAAACTTATACGTTTGTTAGGCGTTCGTTTCCTCTTAATTATACGTCGCAATAAGAATGCTGTGTTACAGCAACCCAAAAATGTATACCAAACATTTCATTCAAACGTTTTAGGACTACCCTATCTTTGTGAGGCACATTACTATACTTAGGACTCAATTTGATCGCGTCCTACCTTAAGTCCACGTTGACTATGGTAATGCTAAAATCACGAACGCTACGTAGTCGAATGGAAATTGTTCCATTGTCCGTGTATAACCGCATCTTGTTTTAATTTCCTTCTGTCACAGAATCTTTTAACCTGTTTCACGTACGCTACAGAGATTAAATTTTATTTATTGAAGCCATTTAGTCAATTATTCAATCAGAAAGAAACAGGAAAACAAATTGACCTAGTCTGTCATTTCCTGCCCCGCATTAAGTAGAAAATTTTTAATTTCCATATTGTGCTAAATTTCTTTGGGCCTTATATAATGTAGTAAACGCTTGGGATGTATACATCCCAGCCTCCAGCAAGAGATTTTAAATTAAGAAATCAGTAGTAAAATAAAGGGTATTTCTTTGGCTTCTTAGTACGACTGCAGATTCCAATCAGTTCAGTCTTGTGCTCTGTGATATATTCCATACCAATAAGCATTATAAATGCATAGCAATAAGGATGGCCTTTGCATAAAAACTTTCCATAGTAACAGACACATATGCTTTGCGTGATAAAGAGCGTTTACATAATTAGACATTTCTAACAGTTTACAAACAGGGTATCCAATTCCTAATAAAATGGATGAGCTTCATATTTAACTTCAATCAATACTGTTTCATAAAACATTTTTGAAATATTATTCTGCATTAAAATAAAAACAAATATTGGCTTCATAATGAATTTTCTATTTAATATATGAATTCTTAATGAAATTCCACTTCATGTAGTATTTACTTCTAATATCTCAAACGTTTCATAAAACTGTCTGAAAAACTTAACATAAACAATTTATCGATAAGATTAATCAATTTCTAGCAATAAATTGTTCAATGCATTGCCAATCTTTGATGAATTCAACTTGTTAGTGCAACAGCACACTACGCGATTTCATCCTCAAAATGCCAGGTTGTTGATGCACGTATAAGGTATAAATATATTGGTTTAAATAAAATCTGACTTTGAAATAAATATTTGTGTAAAAATTAGTAGAATGTGTGTAACAAACAGTTGTCGACTCCAGCTAAAATATGAAAATAGAAGTTTTATTTTCTCCTGATATATGTTAAGGTTCTTTATCACAATTATGCAACGTAATTAAAAACTTAAAACATATTTAACTTTTAGTATAAAAGAAAAAGCATATTTTGCTTTGAAATCTGCCTAAGAATCTACAGAGAACGTTAACGAACAAATTATCCGGAAAAACGTATTCAAAGGCATTTATAGTTGTACTGATAAAAAAATTTTATATGCTTTTCGTTCCGAGGTGACTAAAAGTGACTTTTGATTTTTGAGGTTGAGGAAGAATTTTATAAATTTGAGGTCTTTTTGTGGTAAAATTTTATGGAATTGTTTTGTACTCCAAATTGTGTTCATAATTTTTAATTGGCTCAATATGCCTGGCTGTATAATGATATCAAATTAACTTATACATTCTTTTTTTTCCATTTAAAACTAACTATGATTTTAAATAATTTTTTCGCCTTTATAAAAATATCGTAAATTCAAAAATAGATGTTTTATTTAATACAGGAAAAGCGACAGATTCCTGAGCAAATAAATTAAAAAGTAAATATTCTTGGATATACGTTTTCTGTTTTTATTAATAATTATTTTGAACTGCTGAAGTAATTTACCATGTATAAAGTATTACTCTTATCAATTGCGAAGTGAAATTTAGCTACTAAATGGGTACTATTGTGGAAATTCAAAATTGGAATTTGTATGCAATTAAACTGGAATTCTTAATTAAAATGCAAAAATACAGAATTGACCAAGATAATTATTGCTGATTCCATAAAAAGATCCTGACCTATCAAGGGGAGTTGGAACTTCTTCATATAACATCCAACAATTCATGAAGAACGCCTTTCCTCATTTTGTATTTCTGAACAAAATCCCAATTCCAATATTGAATTTTCTATTCAATTTTATAAATGCGAATTTAAATCTTAAAGAAGTTCAGAAATGAGAAATAATTCTTCGACGTCCTGGTAGGCAATTAATTACAATTAATTTCAACATAAATATTGTATTCATACAGAACAATACTTAAACAGAAAAAACGTTAAATCAAAATTATTTGACAAAAAGAAACAAAAATCAACATGCAAATAGAATGAAAGAAATATACAATAAAAGTCTAATAACAATGCACTTTTACGTACTAATTTACTATTTAATAACTACAATTACATATTAATTGCAGTTCTACATATTCATTACAATTACATATTAATTGCAGTTTTACATATTAATTGCAGGTCTACATATTCATTACAATTACATATTAATTGCAGTTTTACATATTAATTACAATTACACATTAATTGCGCTCTTACATATTAACTACAATTATCCCACTTCACATTTAATAAGAGATAATTTTTTATTTATATGTATAAACAGAAGACAATGCCCATCAGAAGCCAGAATGCAATTATTTCCTAGCTAGATCTGAGAGACATGCAGTTTCCATATGCTGATTTATTTGTCTACATGGCGCCAACTATGAGACAGCTGCAGATATGTGGCATTTCATTCGCAATAAACATTCTGAAATTCGTTTACTATGTTCCCATTCATATTTGAAATCTTTTCCATCATTCGTTTATTTCCTAATTTATTTCCTGTCCTCTTTTGACATAAAGCCTAGCCTTGCGTGCTACATTTCACACGCATACTGTACTTTAGACATTCTTGAAAAATCAATGATGTCGTAAATTGTTGGCAGTTCAGAAAACTCAGCCATTTTCCTTAGAATACCAAATCACATTGAAGCTACTTCCAGTAGATAATTCATTGTGTTTTTTGCGACTACTTTCTCTTTAAAATGTCTTACAGTGATTGACAAGAACAGAAGTCAGAGCCGAACTTTTACTAAAGCACAAGTAATATTATCTTATGAATTTATTAATTACGAAATATATTATTTTATATGCATATGCTCCCCATATGCATTATTTGAGTAGGTACGCACACAATCCAAAAGAAAGCCAGCTCTTACGCATTCTTTTTACATAACGAGAAAACCCAGATTGTATTCGTCAAATCTGTTCTACGTAAAATGAACAAACCCATCAAATAAAGGAATTGTAAACCATATTATCAGAAAATAACAGAAGTTATGGAATCTACCTCCGTAACGAAACGGTATTAAACCTACTCATTAAGTTAATACTGCATCACTTGCATGAATTGTGGTGACTTAGCTTGTTTCGAATCGAATTCCAGAAATGCACTAGCACGCAATCATCGAAAACAAATCAATTACATAATGCAATGCTTTATCATATGCATGTTTAGGAACAAATTTACCTTGTTCCATAGTCTTTCTATCGTGTTTTATGAATATCATCACTATTCAAAATCTTTCACATGCAATGTTGGTGTTAATCTATATGCCTTTCTCCTACCATTCGTGCTCATACTGAAAACGACAAAGCCATATCCCAAGAGTCTCCTGCGTTGCTACGCAAATACTTGAACGTCTCAGACTTCCATCAAGAGTGTTATTAAATTTTTTTGGGTTAGAATACAGCATTTGCAGTATGGAATATTCAAATGCTTTCATAACTTCTGATGGACTACTACGCGTTTTTTCACTGTTATGAAATAATAATGATAATACAAATGTATTTTTAGTACCTGACTCTTAATACCATCTAGAAATTATGCCTGATATTATCTATCTCGTTAACATCCAACGGAAAGGAGCACTATTTTCTTCAAACAGATGCATAATGAAGCACTACGTTCCTTCTGTACGTGATTTATTAATTTTTCTATCCGTTTAGCTTTTTACCATTATTTTGGAGCTAAAACCTTATACCTATCCTAAACTTTGTACTTACATCGATTAAAACTCCATCTAATTTATACGTTTGGGCGGAAGGTGAATCACCGGGAAGATATCTGTAGAACTCAACATTGTCTTTGTACCATTTGACAGAGTATAGTTCGTCTCCTTCTAAGTCGTATCCACAGTCCAACCATACAGGTTCTCCCTTTAGTACGAACCCTGGTACGCCCAAGTACGCAAAACGTACTGAAATGCACTCTGAAAGGAAAAAAAGATTTGTGTCAAGAGAGTATGCTGCTAATAGATATATATAATTGAAAACAAAAATAAGAACTGAAACTGTAAGTAAATATATTCATTTACGCTCGAAAGAAATTTTCTAATATATGACAATACATCCAATAGTTTTACATAGAAATACATAACCTCCTTACGCAGAAATTTGGACGATGCTTCACAGTGACTGTACCTCTAATCATATAATCTAACACTGCTGGCCATTAAAATTTCAACACCATGAAAAAGGAAAATACGAAAAAAGTTATTTATTGTACGTAAACAATATAGCATGAAGATAAAATGATTAAATTTATAAGCAGTTTGGGATTTTACAGGGGTACAAAATTAATAGAAACAGCTGCCACCCACGGCATCTAAAAAGGCCCTTACTTGGTTAAGCATGAAGTCGAAGTGGGCTTCAATGCCAGGAAATGGGCAACTCATTCCATGCTGCTTCAAGGTCTATGCCACACTTCATCAACCGTATTAGCTGGAGAAGGGTTGCGGGACAGTCTCTCAGCAGCCCATGACCAGAAGATTTCAATGGGTGACAGATCTGGAGACCGTGTAGGCCAAGGAAGTAATCAAATACCCTGTGTATCGAGAAAGGTCAGAACACTGCGTGCAACATGTCGTCTCGCATTATCTTGTTGGAAGATGGCGTTATAGAGCGTCGAAGATGGCGTTATAGAGCCATTACACCAGGTGCAGGGCCCTTATGCCGATATCGAATGCAAGCAAGCGACATGCGGTCTCCTAGGAGCCTATAGACACGTATACAGTCATCAGCATACTGCACTAAGAACCGGAACTAATTTGAAAAGACGACTTTGTGCCACTCCTGCATTCAGCTTTGCTGTTCGCCTCACCAGAGTCGCCGTCTCATTCTATGATGTATTGTCAAAGGGAAGCTGAAGTAATGGTCGTCGTGTTGATAGTCCACGCGGCTGCAAACGTCAACGCAACTTACGAGCGGATACTAGGCGTGCTGCAAACACGCCATTTCCTGACTAATGGCCCGTAATGTGGTTGTACTGTTTTGCAAGGTTGACCTCACAATATGTCTGTCCTCTGGGGCGGTAGTCATAGGAAGGCATTGAGATTCTGCATGCCGTTCAATATAACCCTCAGCAACCCATTGATTCCATATTCGCGTGACAGTGGTTGGGTGTTGTCTAGTGCAACGGGCGATATCACGGAACGATAATCCACCCTCTGGATATCTCAACGATCCTGCTTCTATTGCATTCCGACACTTGCTGGTAAACATTTCTTGTTATTATGCGAGATATAACACATTCGGAGGAAACTCCGACCTTACAAAGCGCTTTCCGAATGAGAAATTCACTACACAACTTTTCTTTTATGCAGATCTTCAGATGTCGTTTCTCCCTCCTGCGTCGTCTAAATGGGCTGAAATACTAGCCATTTCCATATCCCAACCTCTTCTTCTTTTAATGTGATTTTGATGTTCGAGATCATTTCTTCCTGGTGTTGCAATTTTAATGGTCAGAAGTAAAAAAAAATATGCATAATCACATTTTTATACTATGGTCAGTCAAAAGATTAGTTGCACTTGGATGAAAGAAACACCATATGAAACATATAAAACATTTCTTTTATTTGCATGAAAATATATCACAATATCACTTTTTTCTGTTATCACCGAGTTTATCCACGTATTTATTGAAACATGTCACGGGTATCTTTACACTTTGTTTGAAGAATTTCTGTCCAACTTCCGATAACAACTCTTGAGTTGCAATTTTGATTTGCTCAACAGACTCAAAAAAAAGTCACCTTTTCTCGTAAAAAAGGTGATGTATTTTTCGTTGTAGTGATGTTTGATGAAAACGTGACGTTTATTTTCATGTGCACGTATTCGTAAGTCCGAATACATGCACACGACTGAGCACAAGATCCGTACTAAAGCGTTTTCATACCTTCCACTGGAAGGTAACAGGTGGTTGTAAGCTTTACTCAGCAGATTCTGTAATCGCTTGGTGTCAGACTACTTTATCTCCATACATTTCATGACACTGGCAATGAATCTCATTATGGGCGCACTTTTTGCCCCACCGAAAATAATTTCCTACGTATGTTTTACAAAATATCTCTTTCCAGAAATGTTCTGCGGTCTTGCACATAGTTACGTAAGAGCAGTAATTCAAAAGTGCCATAGAAATGAGAAGATCTGTCACTTGTGATTTCTTATTTTAATTATGCACTATTCAAGAGTTTGATTCTTACAGCCTATGTTAAGTTTTTTTCTTTCCTTTTTTAATTTAAATCAGTTTAAAGAGCCCGCCAGTGGTCAGATGGATATAAACACTAAGCAATCGCTCTTTGTACGGGGCACATTTCCTACGGAGGCTCACCTCTGGCCAAGTGGTAAAATTTCCCAAAACTGATAGTTCGATCCGATATTCGAATCTTGCGAACGGCCTAGGGCATGGGCGGTTTCGTGGCTTTCCGAGAAGGCAACCCTTCCCTTAGGCAGATAGCCCTCGTGTGCTTTGCCACAATCAAATAAACTGAACCAAATCAAATCTAACGAATGGGCTAGATGAATGGATTTTGGAGGGTTTTCCTCATGCATAACATGGATTTGAGAAGCCTTCATTAGATAGTCCAAAGGCATTTGTGCTGCAATATGCTAAATAGCGATAAATGTAGCGAATTCTATCTTTACATTTAATCAAACATATTGAAGCAAAATGACGAAAGCAAAACTTCACTTATTGTGTTATTTAACCCTTCGGCGAGTGCGAAATTAAGCAATTCTTTCCTCTCAAATACGCGCAATATATGTCAGTCGTAAATTTGTAATGCGAGCACTGTTCTTCGCGCACATTCCAGTGCGTAACTGAAATGTGAGCTGAGCTTGATGACCATCAAAGGGTTAATATATTTTGTTAATATTGACAAAAAGAAACTGATAAATTAAAATAATGGTCTTTTATTGCATGTTGCAGTTTATGATACTCTACTTTGTTAGCAAAGTTTCGTCGTCACATAGTTAGATTATGCTTCTATAGCATTACTTTTACATCAAATTTATAATGCCCGCTCTTTAGAACATCATTTTTGATGTGAAATCATAATTTTTAATACATGTAGTAATCCATAATGAACTTCACATACAGAGTAAGTACATTTCAGTATAGAATGCAAATATTTGTTTGAATTTTTAACAGCAAAACAGTCTTTAAGTATTTTAAATCAAATTGTTTAACAGTGATGTTTTCGGAATATAAGCAGCCGGAGCAAATATATTTAATAACTTCTAAAGTACCATTTATGTCCTTCTTGCATTCTCCTAAAAACGTTCAGGGAGTTTTGTTCGCTATAGAAACTCGGAAGATTTAAATTTTTCTCTTATATACGAAAAACGAAAGTAAAATAGAAAGAAACGAAAGAGGTAAGGGAAAATGGCACATGTATAGGAAAGCTTTCTTTGAAAATTTTGCTTAGAGAAAAACTCTTATTTGCATAAATATTTTGCTAACAAACAGAGTTTAATTCCCACTGTGCATCTGCTAAATGATATTTAAATGTTAAAATATTTTAATAGTTCTTAAGCATTCTAAACTATATAAGCGGACAAATCTTGCATATTATTAAGTTTGGTGAATTTATAATAGTAATATGGCGGACTAGTGAACTCATTCTAGGATTAAAATGGATGTGATACGGTTACATGATATAGCAAAACACTATTCAGTACTTTAAAATTGTTATTAATATAGTACGTGCAGTAAAGCTGTCTTTACAAGACTTCTAAATTGCTTTCCCATGGGGGATTAATTTCAATTTTAATAATCGCGAATGTATATTCATAAAATATTTCCTTTGAATGTGACTTAAAAATAATAGCTAATCCTCACGAAAGAAAGCGCAGCTCTCATTCTTTATATTTTGAAGTTAATGATAAACGAAAGCACTCTGTCTGTAATAATAACAATCAAAAATTTGAGATACGTACTTAAAGTATATTCCTATACATCCTTATTTTTTAAAATGATATGAAAATAACTTTTTAATCTTTAGAAATAAAAATGCACGAAATTTCAAGACTTGGTCATATATTTAACGTGAATTTTACGAAATGTTTTTTTCGCAAGAAACGGCGAAAATAAGCTGCTGGATTTTGTCTTGTAAATGAATGATTTATATATACATTCAGATTTCTAGGAAGCAACAAAATTCTCCTTGTCTGCTTCTCTAAAGCCTGAAAAATCTTTTGTCCTTTGTGAATACAAAAAATATATAGACAGAAAGAGAATTATGAAATACATTTGTTACGCGTTGGATGCAATACAAAAAAAAAAAAAAAACCCACCAAGAGCTGATATAAAATAAATGCTCCAAAATACATCTGCATTGTTTTGTATGTATTAAAAGTAGCAATATTTTATTCTTCCCTTTATGCAAGGATTTAAATTTCAACTCGCTTTTGATTCCATAACACATTTTGAATATTCCGTGCTTTAAATTCTACTATAATAAGGTACCATACTGTGGATGAAGTTCAAGATATCAAGGATATGAATCAGAAACGTATTACTTCCAAACTGTGTATCGCATCGAAGTTATTCAAATATTAACATGCCAAGAAAATGTCTGATCTTTTTGTGTCACATTAAGGTGGTTTCGATACGTGATCACTTTATGACGCATCAAATCTTGAAAGAATATTCGGTATTTTGCGTTTCCCGCTGAATCGTGTCTCGAGTTACAGTTGCATTAGCTAGATCAGCTTGGTTAAGGGATATAATCTTTAAGTCTAACAGAAACTCAAGTCTAACAGATCTCACCTGGATGCACTTCATTTTGGGAAGTAAATAGTGAAATTTGGCTATGATAACAATATTCGTGAAATCTAATCTAATGGGAGGGATGATTGCAATGAGATTTAAGATATCGAATACTGTTTCCACATCTGCCACTAGGGAAACAGAGAGTATATTGAAACTTAT